TAAAGGGACTAAGTTTGGCAATAATTTGTCTTTTATGAATTTGGAGATCTTGTACTATATTTTCTTTGAGAAGTGACTATTCCAAAACAATTTGCGACACATTTTCTGGCTGTTGTTTAATTTATTGTTGGTTTTTTCCATGTATGTTTGTTTTTTCATCCTTGTTTTATTTTTATTCTGTTGTTCTTTGCTTAACTTTTGTTCCGTTTTGGTTTGTTTCATTTTGTTTGCTGTTTTTTTTTTTTTGCTTAACATGCCTTGATCTTTCTATATATATATATATATATATATATATATATAAAGTTATACTTATTAATAAAATAAATAAAGTTATACATATTAATAAAACTTATGCAATCTGCACAATCGAAATGAAAGTGCAAAGACTGCCACCTTGTGGTGCAAAGAGAAAACTTATTGATATGAACTTTTTTGATTGCTTTAGTACAAATTGTGTATGATAATAGAAATGCAGAATATGTGACTTTAAAAAAAAACATTTATGCAGTCATAAACATGTTTTGATAGTTAATATGCCAGTGATTTGATGCTTCAAAAAAGTTGCAGACGCCTTTACCAATATGAAAATGCTTTTGTAAACAACCAGCTGTTCTTTAACCCGATTAAAAAACGGCTACTATAATAAAGAAAATATTTTCTAAATGTAGAACTAAATACATTGATTTGTATTGAAATACATGATGAATACACTTGACACATGAAAGTGTAAAGCCTGCAGCTCACAACAAATGTGGAAGGTTATTGCGTGTCATATTTAACAAGCCGTTTACTGCTAATTTGATGTAATTTTGCTCACATGGATAATTAAATATTAAACAGATGATGTCATTACGCTGCTGTGCCGTCAGCCAATCGTTGCATTGCTGATCATGATTTCGAGGATCGATAGATCTGTCCTTCACAACACACGCAGCGATCTCAGATCAGTTCATCCAGGCATTCTAATCTGATTCGCGAACTTGTTTGAAGAACCAAATTAGCGAGAGATCAGTTATCAAGATTAAAAGATCCAGGATCGGCCAAATAATCTTAGATCATTCAAGCGAGGTACGAAGAACAGACCCCAGGAATGTTATCACGCAAGCTGGGTCAAATGATTTAAATATAAAATTAAATATAAAACTGAAATGATATAAATGTTTTTTTGCTTAAAATGGCTCATTCAGGAATGGATAAAGTGGTGATCACGGATCTGTGCTATTTCTGCATTTAAATGCAGTTTTGACCTGAGCAGCTGTTTTATAAATGACTGCTGAATCACAGAATCACTTGATTTGTTCAAAAACACTGAATCATTCAGTAACTATGTGAACACCGAGCTGATCTGAGATGCAAACAGACCTTATGATGGAAACAATAACCTCACTATATTACAACATATCTTTTTCTTCTGTGCAAATTAAAGTCTATCTTATATCCTCATATTCTTATGTAACTTATTCTATCCAGTGAAGAAGATCAGACTCACCTGATAGATTCAGAGTTACAGCATCACTGATCTCTGATTCCAGACTGCGATCTGGACTATTTCCTCTGCAGGTGACATTACTGCTGCTGTGAGAAACACCAGTGCTGATGCTGAATTCTCTGTCTCTGCTGAAGGGTTTAGTTGATCCCTCTTTAACCCAGCTGTATGTCCAATCATCGTCAGCCCCTGGTATTTCACATCTGACAGTGCGCTCATGTTTGTCAGGATCCACAATCACTACAGCCTTTGGTCTCTCTGTAGCATCACATAAAACACTAATTTATTTATTTAATTATTCATGTAAGAACAGGTACAGCTATTGTAAGAATTAATTCACTTCCAGAATGAAAATTTCACGTTCATTTACTCTCCCATGTGCCAATCAATTAATTTTTTCTTTCTTCAGTGAAAATTGTGTTTGAGGAAGAGGATTTTTCTCCATATTGTGAACTTCAGTGTTTCTGAACGGTTTGATCTTTCGATCTGCAGTTTCAGTGCAGCTTTAAAGACTCTCATTAATCCCATAGGGAAAAAATGCCTTTTAATCTGTTTTTAATAAAAAAAAAAAGTTTGCACGTGCAAGCTCATCTTACACACTGGGATACAAGCTTTTTGGGAGGTTAAAAACTAATTTCTAATCACCTCTTCAGGTACGACTCTTATTTTCCACAAAAACCCTGATATTTTTTGTAGTGAAGAAAGAATCTTGGAGGAAACAGGAGTGAATACATTATCAGTAAAATTTTAACTTTAAACACATCAGCAGAAAAATGCAAGTGTTTACTTCTACATCTCAAGATGAGTCACATCTCTCTTTCTCTCACACACACACACACACACACACACACACACACACACACACACACACACACACACACACACACACACACACACACACACACACACACACACAACACAACACAACACACACACATACACATACACACACACAACTATCTTTATGGCGACTTCCCACAGACATAATGATTTTTATACAGTACATACTGTAGATTCTCTCCCCCTACTATACCCTAATCTAAGGTGGCCCTGTACTGCACAGCACAATGTTTAACAAAGCAAACATTAATCTCACAACTCAATGACATTAACATCACAATGCAAAGACATTTCAAAAAGCAAACATGCATTGTGATTTTATTGCCATTATGTTGTGAGATTAATGTTGGCTTTTGAAATGTTGTTGTGTTGTGCACTATGTTGGGCCACCATACTAAACCCAACCCTAAAAGGAAATAATCTGCATTTTTCAAATTCTTCATTACTTTGATTTTAAAGACGTTTTTTTATTTTTATTTTTTATGAAGACCAAAAAAAAAATGTCCATGAAGTCAACATGTACTGGTATTGCTACACTTGTGGGGACACACAAACAAACAAACTTTTTGCATTTGTTCTGCTGTGATAACATGCATGTAGATTTGTAGAAATGTAGACATCACCTTCAGCGTGTCCAGAGAGAATGCCTGCAATCAGCACTGAAAGTAAAAAAAAAAAACAAGATTGTTGAAGGTATTACTGATATTAAATTTTAAAAACATTTATGAGCAACTTTTTAAAAACAAATTTGTAAAACATGGCTTAAATTACTATTTGGACACCATATGCTAATTAAAAGACGGAGATATACTCCCTGCTCTCCATGATATTGGACTTTTGTCATCCAATCCAATAGCAATAAAGCTCTGTCTGTTGTAATTTGAGAAATATCCACTAGGGTGAAGAGAAGCGTGGCAGCACTTTGTTTTATATTATTATTTTTTTTATTCTCGCGTTATTTATATTTTTTTATTTGGTTTTATGGGGTATATGCCGAAGCATGCTAATAGGACTTTTAATTTGCCAGTAACCTGGGTTAAGCGCTTCCGGCGAATTGAATGCCAATGCAAAATCCGGTGCGTTTAAGGTCTGTTTTCTTAAAAAATCAGCGATATCCACTAGCTGAGTGATATCCGATTTAAAATAAGTTTCAGATTGTACAAGAAGCTCTGCATTAAATTACATTTTCCGCTGCCATGTCTTTATAATATGAGCATTTATTTTACCCCAGTATATTCAATGGAGTTTCTGCGCTATCCTGCCGATTCTGACGGGCGCGTGCGAGTAAACAGCTTTTTGTCTCGTTTTACGCTTGAGCAACTAAATAAATGCTAAACTTTATTTAACTGAATGTATTTTAATGACATTACAACATCGATGCTGCATAAGGAACCGCATAAAATGGTAAAAAGTTCACAATAACAGGTCACCGGAGGTGTATCAGCATGGGAACAGCACTAGCTCGGCATATACACTATTAACATTTATTGATATGTTTGCAAATATTTCATAGATTATCGAATTGTAAAAAGTATTAAACGTATAATAAAGGCAAGAAATTACTACTATTCATTCATTCATTCATTTTCTTGTCGGCTTAGTCCCTTTATTAATCTGGGGTCGCCACAGCGGATTGAACCGCCAACTTATCCAGCAAGTTTTTACGCAGCGGATGCCCTTCCAGCCGCAACCCATCTCTGGGATACATCCACACACACACTCATACACTACGGACAATTTAGCCTACTCAATTCACCTGTACCGCATGTCTTTGGACTGTGGGGGAAACCGGAGCACCCGGAGGAAACCCACGCGAACACATGGAAAACATACAAACTCCACACAGAAACGCCAACTGAGCCGAGGTTCGAACCAGCGACCTTCTTGCTGTGAGGCGACAGCACTACCCACTGCGCCACTGCCTCGCCGAAATTACTACTAATAAAAAAATATTGTACATTTACAAGCTTTAAATTAGGATTTTTATCAAACATCAGCTTTTCAAAATGCTTTATCAAAATGCTTTTCTTTTTATTAGTCAGGAAGCATTTCTAGACAAGTTAAAGTCTTGATTTCAGAAAAGAATAAATAGAAATTAATTATAAAAATAAAAACAAATTATTTAAGAATTTGCACATATTTGAATTAGTAAGGCAACTGAATCCAAGTAATGATGCTGCTGTGATATTTTAAGACAAGTTTCAGTCTTCTTTATCAAATCAAGCATCATATCTATGTCTATCTATTTTTACAGATCTAATGGAAGCGGTTAGTGATGACGAGAGAGGTTTACAAGAAAGACAGAGGAAGTGTGATGAAATCAATTTCAAAGAACATCTGTGATGCTGTCATGGTCTTATTTTGGAGGCCATCAGTGCACCTATGTGGTCTGTTTAATGTCTGTATATGGAAAAGACAAAATATAGATGCGCTAATGCTAGTGATAATCCAGGCTTGAGGCCAGAAATCTAAAAATGAGTGGACATCATGCCATATTTTGCACTATATGAGGCAAATTGAACATGCAAATTCTACTGCCTTTAGCTTAATAGAGAAAATGACCACACAAATATGCTAAAAATATGTAACTACACTGAAAATAACAAGGCGCAATAGTGTAAATAACCATAAAAGGATAAAAATATGTTACTAAACTGAAAATAACAATGCAAAATTGTCTAAATAATCAGAAAAGGCTGAAATTATGCTACTAAACTGGAAACAACAAAGCAAAAGGGTCTAAATAACCAAAAAATGGTGACAATATGCTGAAAATAACAGTACAAAATGGTCTAAACAATCAGAAAATGTTGATAATATGCTGAAAATAAATGCACAATATTTTAAATAAACATAACAAGCTAAGCTTTTCACTCATATAGCACACATGCTGCTGCTGATGTGACAATAAAAGTAATTTGATTGGAACATGCTGGAAATATGCCATACTGAAAATAACAATGCAAATCTGTCTAAAAAACAAAAACAAATAAGAGCTGAAAATTTGATAAAAATAACAATGCAAAATGGTGTAAACAATCCACAAATGCTGAAAAAAAATTAAATTGAAAATAACGATACAAAATAGTCTAAATAATCATAAAAGGCCGTAAATATGTCACTAAACTGACAATAGCAATGCAAAATAGCCTTAACTGATAGAAAAGGTTGCAATTATGCTACTAAATAGAACAAGCTCAACCACAACTTAAGAAATCAGACATTATGTCTGATTTCATGGCAATTAAAGGCTGATTTATACTTCTGCGTCAAACACCGGCGTATGCTACGGCGCTGACGCATAGCCCATCGCCGTGGCCATCGCCGTCACTGACGTGCACCTCTCAAAAATTGTAACTACACGTCGCAACAACGCGTAGCGCAAGCTCTGTGATTGGTCGGCTTGCTAGCGTCGACGAGTCTGGACGGGACCGAGAGCCGCGCGAATGGCGCGAGCGATTGTTTACAAGTGTGGAGTCCCGTGAAGGAGCTCCGGATGGAAAGTTTTGTTCTGTTTACCTCATGGTTAAAGTTGTTGCACGTCCGCCGGTTCCTGCCTCAAAATGAGCGAGTTTGAGTCACTTGTACATCCAGGAAGTGTTCAGAATAGCAAAACAGAAGCGAAGAAACTCGACACAGAGCAACATTTACACCTCACTGCCCACTAGCGTTTCGGAAGTGTTAATGCAGACCAACGGAGACAGCGCGCAGAAGTATAAATGCACAGCCACGTGCGTTGCCTGCGCCTTGAGTTGCGCCGGTCACTTGACGCAGAAGTATAAACCAGGCTTGACGGTAAAATCTTAGAAGAGACTGTGCAAGTTATGAAAACATCAACCTGCAGTCTTGACACGCTCCCCACATCATTCTTCAAAAGGGTGTTTACCTGTTTAGAAATGGATCTTCTAAAAGTGGTAAATGCTTCACTTCTATCAGGGATTTTTCCAACCTCACTTAAAACTGCAGTTGTTAAACCCCTCTTGAAGAAGAGCAACCTGGATAACACCCTATTGAGCAATTACAGGCCAATCTCAAATCTCCCTTTCATTGGCAAAATCATTGAAAAAGTTGTTTTCAACCAGGTTAACAAGTTCTTAAACTTAAAGGGGTGTTTAGACAATTTTCAATCTGGTTTCAGAGCACATCACAGTACAGAGAGCGCTCTTATAAAAATAATCAATAATATACGCCTAAATACAGATTCAGGTAAACTAACAGTGCTGGTATTGTTGGATCTCAGTGCCGCATTTGACACTGTCGATCACAGCATACTTCTGGATAGGCTGGAAAACTGGGTTGGGCTGTCTGGGACAGTCCTCAAATGGTTCAGATCTTACCTTGAAGGTAGAGGTTACCATGTCAGTATAGGTGTCCATAGGTCGAGGTGGACAACCATGACATGTGGAGTCCCACAAAGCTCGATTTTGGCACCTCTCCTGTTTAACCTTTACATGCTCCCTCTGAGCCAAATAATGAGAAAGAATCAAATCTCTTACCACAGCTATGCTGATGACACTCAGATCTACCTAGCCTTACAGCCTAATGACTACAGCCCCATTGACACCCTCTGCCAATGCATCGATGAAATGAACAGTTGGATGTGCCAAAACTTTCTTCAGTTAAACAAAGAGAAAACTGAAGTCATTGCGTTTGGGAACAGAGATGAGGTTCTCAAGTATAATGCGTACCTTGGCTTTAAGGGTCAAACAACAAAAAATAAGGTCAAGAATCTTGGTGTGACTCTGGAGTCAGATCTGAGTTTCAACAATCATGTCAAAGCAGTCAGTAAATCAGCATACTATCATCTCAAAAACATAGCAAGAATCAGATGCTTTGTTTCTAGTGAAGATTTAGAAAAACTTGTTCATGCTTTTATCAGTAGCAGGGTGGATTACTGTAATGGTCTCCTCCCTGGTCTTCCCAAAAAGACAGTCAGACAGTTGCAGCTCATCCAGAACGCTGCAGCCAGAATTCTGACCAGAAGCAGGAAATCAGAGCACATCACACCTGTCCTCAGGTCTCTACACTGGCTGCCAGTTACATTCAGAATAGATTTTAAAGTATTATTACTGATCTATAAATCACTAAATGGCCTAGGACCTAAATACATCACAGATATGCTCACTGAATACAAACCTAACAGATCACTCAGATCATTAGGATCATATAACTAGAAGTTCCAAGAGTTCAGTCTAAGCAGGGTGAATCGTCTTTTAGCCAATACGCCCCCCGCTGCTGGAATCAGCTTCCAGAAATGATCAGATGTGCTCCAACATTAGGCATGTTCAAATCAAGACTGAAAACACATCTGTTTAGCTGTGCCTTTACTGAATGAGCACTGTGCTGCGTCCGACAGATTGCACTATCATGTTTTTCGTTTTCTTTTTCATTGTTTTGTAACCTATTTTTAACTCATTTTAATTTGTTTTTAATTTGTTTTTAATAACTTTTATTGTCAGCATTTTATGTTCCTAAACTTGTCTTTTTTATTCCTGTTTATGTAAAGCACTTTGAATTGCCACTGTGTATGAAATTTACTATATAAATAAACTTGCCTGGCCTTGCCTTGCCTAAATTGGAAATACCAATGCAAAATTACGTAAATAATTAGAAAATACTGAAAATATGCTACAAAACTAAAAATTACAATGCAGAATGGCCCAAATAAGCAGAACATGTTGACAATATGCATAAAATAATGATGCAAACGGTTAAAATAATCATAAAATGGTAAAAATAGGCTAATAAACTGAAGTAAATCCTTCTATATTAAAATAACAATGCAAAATAGTCTAATCAATCAGTAATTGTTGATATGCAGAAAATGACTAATCAAAATAGTTTAAATAAACAAAAAAAAATGCTGAACATGCTAAAAATAACAATGCAAAATGGTGTAAACAACTCTGAAAAAAGAATAAACTAAAAATACTGATACAAAAAGGTCTAAATAGTCATAAACTGATGAAAACATTTCACTAAACTGCCAAAAGCAATGCAAAACGGTTTAAACATAATTGGAAAAGGATGCAATTGTACTACTAAACTGTAAATAACAATGCAAAACTGTGTAAATAATCGCAAAATGCTGAAATAATGCTGAAAACAACAATGCAACAGTCTTAATAACCAAAACAAATGTTAATAATATGCTGAAAATAATACAATATGGTTTAAATAATCGTAACATGCTGAAAATATGCTACTAAACTGAACAAAATGCTACTAAACTGAAAATTACAATGCAAAATTGTCTAAAAATGATCAGAAAATGCTGAAAAAATTAGCAAAACTGAAAATAATTATGTAAAATGATCTGAATAATCTGAAAATTTGACAAAATGCTAAAAAATAATGAAATTTGGTTTAAATAAACATGCTGAAAATATGCTAAAAATAACAATGCAAAGTGGTCTAAATAATCATAGAATTCGGAAAAAAGCTCCAAAACTGAATATAACAATGCAAAATAGCTTAAATATTCATATTAAATCTGCATAATTGATACCAAACAATACTAAATGCATGCAAACAATGTACATGTAGCATTTAGTGCACATTTTGGCTCACTGAATGATTTATAAACGCATTAAAAACCGGCAGATATTTTTTTTTCCACACACGGATATCAGGATTTAAAGATCACTCAGATCATTAGCATGGAAAACAGATCAATACATAATTCAAAACACAGATCCACTGGATCATTGCAAAAAAATCATTGTAAAAAAGCAGAAATTGGAAAATATTACTCACAGAGCATTAGAGGAAGTGGACTGAGCTCCATGCTGATCTGCTAATGGCTTGGTGTAAAAACACTGCCTGTTTTAAAGATGCAGGATTTCCTGTACAAACGACTTCCTGGTGTCATTATTTTCTGGAGAATATAGATGCTCGCTTTATTATGCTTATATGTAATGAGGCTTAAGTCATTTTATTTCTTATATAACTGACTCTGTAAGAAATAATTATTGACAGGCTATTGAATTATTAGGAAATAAAGCACACTTGAGGTGGTGATTCGGTCACGATACGAAGCAGATATACATTATTTTCTAATAAGTCAACAGACCAGAGTCAATTATTCAGCTTATGTTTACCGCAGCTAAAGTCTCTGTTCAGATGTTTAGACATTTGTCAGGTTTTTGTCCTCAAACTGCTCCTGTGTGTAGCACTAGTTTCTCACACCTCTCGTCTAAAGCCTTCTGTTGTGATTTTTGACTATTGCATCTGTGAAATAACTGAAACATGAAGCTGTAATGTGCTCAAAACATGCCGGAACTACTTTATCTGTGCATTTACATGAAAATACACCTCTGAGCCAAATGATCGGCCAATCAGAAGCAAGCATTCAACAGCCTTGTAGCTTTTTGCTGCATTTCTGTTTATTAAGATCATTTTGTATTGTTATTTTAATCATATTTTTAACATTTATTGATTTAGATTATTTTGCATTATTATTTTTAGTTTAGTGGCTTTTTACGGCATTTTCTGATTATTTAGAGCAGGGGTGTCAAACTCAATTCCTGGAGGGCCGAAGCTCTGCACAGTTTAGTTCCAACCCTGCTCCAACACACTTACCTGTAGGTTTCAAACATGCCTGAAGGACTCAATTAGTTTGATCAGGTGTGTTTAATTGGGTTGGAACTAAACTGTGCAGAGCTGCGGCCCTTTTGGAACTGAGTTTGACACCCGTGTTTTAGACCATTTTGTATTGTTATTTTCAGCTTATTTTTTATTTTTTTTTAGATCATTTTGCATTGTTATTTTTAGTTTAGGAGATTTTTTCAGAATTTTCTGAATATTTAGACCAGTTTAAATTGTTATTTTCAGAATATTTTCAGCATTTTCTCATTATTTAGATCATTTTGCGCTGTTGTTTTCAGTTTAGTAGCTTTTTACATCATTTTCGGATTGTAGCTTTTCCACATATTTTAAACATTTCATGATTTTTTAGACAATTATGCATTGTTATTTTTAATTTAGAAGATTTTTTCAGCATTTTCTGACTTTTAAGACCATTTTGTTTTGTTATTCTCAACATATTTTCAACATTTTGTGATTTTTTAGATCAGGGGTTTTCAAAGTGTGAGGCGCGCCTCCTCTGGGGGGCGCCAGAGCATGTCAGGGGACGCGCGGGAAAAAAATATTACATAATAAAAATATAATTATTAAGTTTAATTATTATATGTATTTTTTATTATATTTAAACGTTTTAATTAAACAAAGCAAATAAAAAATAATACGTCTAAAATAAGAAAACCTGTGAAAAAAAGCTGTGAGTTTGATTCTGTTTGGCAAGCCAGCCAATACAGGTATATGCCTGCTAATACAATGCATCGGTTTCTGAGACCCCCGATTCAAAGCCTTCAAGTTCAGGGCTTAAACCCAAAAGACGACGATATGATGATCAGTATTTGAGTTTAGGATTTACGTGGACAGGACCAGCTGATGAACCAGGACCTTTATGTGTGGTTTGTCAAGATCTTTTGGCTAATGACAGCATGAGACCCGCTAAACTTCGACTGTTTTGACTGGGATGGACAGTTCTTGGATCTGTTCTATTCATATTGAACCATCATCCTAGTTTTAAAAACGTTATATTAAAATACTTGTTATTACTCTGTAAATAATTGCACTTTCATGCAAATGATGATAAAAGTGAGTTAACAGTCTGTCTGTGACTTTATATATATATACTGCGTGTGTGCGTGTTTGGGAGGAGGGGGGCACCAATGGATAAGTTGTGTCAAAAGGGAGACCCACTGTCTTAGACTTTGAAAAACCCTGTTTTAGATAATTTTGCATTGATATTTTCTGCATTTTTTTATTATTTTGACTATTTTGCATTGTTATTTTTAGCATATTTTCAACATTTTATAATTATTCAGACCATTTTGCATTATTTTGAGTTAAGTAGCTTTTTTACAGCATTTCCTGATAATTTACACCATTTGCATTGCTATTTTTTGCATATTAACACCATTTTATGATTATTTAGACCATTTTGCGTTATTATGTCTAGTTTTTTACGGCATTGTCTGTTTATTAAAATCATTTTGCATTGATATTTTCAGCATATTTTCAACATTTAATGATTTTTTTAGACCATTTTGCATTGTTATTTTTAGTTTAGATGATTTTTTCAGCATTTCTGGTTATTAAGACCATTTTGTATTGTGATTTTAAGCATTTTTTGATATTTTTAGATCATTTTGCATTGTTATTTTCAGTTTAGTAGCTTTTTATGGCGTTTTCTGATTATTTAGACATTTTTTTATTGATGTTTTCAGCATTTTTGAATTTTTTAGACCATTTTGCGTTATTTTCAGTTTAGGTTTTTACACCATTTTCTGATTTTTAGGACTATTTTGTATTGTTATTTTCAGCATATTTTCAACACTATAATTATTAAACCATTTTGCATTATTGCAGTTGTGTAGCTTCTTACGACATTTTCTGATTATTTAGACCATTTTGTATTGTTATTTTCAGCATTTTCTGATTATTAAGACTATTCTGCATTGTTATTTTCTTTTTAGTAGCTTTTTTCATTCATTAGAAGCAAGCATAGGCTATAAATAGTCAATATGTAATCCTGGCTAAGTTAAAAGAATGGACAAAACTAATTATTCACGTTTTTACATGCATTTCCCATGCTTTACGATGCAAAGCTATATCAGAGGGATCTATTCATCATGATTTAAACCAATTATTATGATTGTCTCAAACTGAAGCAAAGAGACAGTTTTGCTAAAAAGTTGATCTTCAGGAAACAGGAAGTTGAAAGATTCAAGATGTTACAAAAAAATTCTGGTTGATGTCACAACAAAAAGTTTAAGGAAATTGCATCACCTTGCGGATTATGTTTACTCATAATTCCACGCACGCAGGGCAATTAATGCACGTCTCAAAGGTCACAAATACACATTACACAGGACGACATTAAAACAGACCTATTATGCATCTTTTTACAAGATTTAAATTAAGTTTCTGATGTCCTTTGAGTGTGTATGTGAAGTTACAGATCTAAACAAATAATGTTTTCAACTTTGATCCTAATTGTGGTGTTTTGGTGACTGTCACTTTAAATTCAAATGAGATTGTGCTATTTTCAAAAGAGGGCGGAGCTACAAATGCCTGTGTGTCAGCATAGTGCCTGTGTGTCACTTTTTTCCCCTTTGAACATTATATTTTATTTTGAGAAACGTATAATATTTTGGAGCAGTAAACATGTCAGACTGAATAATTCAAATGAATCATGACATACATTTACATTTACATTTAGTCATTTAGCAGACACTTTTATCCAAAGCGACTTTCAAAGGGGACAAGGAAGCAATTTACACAACTAAGAGCAACAATAAATAAGTGCCATAGGCAAGTTTCAGGTCTGTAAAGTCTAAGAAGGGAAGTATTAGTAGTATTAGAATTTTTTATTTATTTAGTTTTTTTTTTGTACAGTTAGTGTGATATTCAGAGAGGCAATTGCAGATTAGGAAGTGTAGTGGAGACTAAATAGTTGAGTTTTTAGTCGTTTCTTGAAGACAGCGAGTGACTCTGCCGTTCTGATGCAGTTAGGGAGTTCATTCCACCAACTGGGCAGATTGAGCGCGAGCGCTCGCGAAAGTGATTTCTTCCCTCTTTGGGATGGAACCACGAGGCGACGTTCATTCACAGAACGCAAGTTTCTGGAGGGCACATAGATCTGCAGAAGTGAGAGCAGATAAGAAGGAGCAAGGCCAGAAGTCACTTTGTAGGCAAACATCAGAGCTTTGAATTTGATGCGAGCAGCAACTGGCAGCCAGTGCAAACGGACTAGCAGCGGAGTGACATGTGCTCGTTTAGGTTCATTGAAGACCACTCGTGCTGCTGCATTCTGGAGCAGTTGAAGAGGCTTGATAGAGTTAGCTGGAAGCCCAGCTAGTAGAGAGTTACAGTAATCCAGTTTGGAGAGAACAAGAGCTTGAACAAGGAGTTGAGCTGCATGTTCAGATATGAAGGGTCGGATGTTTCTGATGTTGTTGAGTGCGAATCTGCACGATCGAGCAGTTCTAGAAATGTGGTCAGAGAAGTTTAGTTGGTCATCAATCGTTACTCCAAGGCTTTTTTACCATTTTGGATGCAGTAATGGTTGCCCCATCCATCTGGATTGAAAAGTTATGGTGTAGAGTCGAGTTGGCAGAAACTACAAGCATTTCCGTTTTTGCGAGGTTCTCTTCATTAGTAGGGCTGGGCGATTTGGCCTGAAATCAAAATCTTGATTACTTGAACATTTTAACTCGAATATGATTAATGAACAATTATTTTATGTGTTTATTTATTTATTTTTTGCCCTCATAGTTCACTGAACAGTAAATATGCTCACATATTACAAGTTACAAGAGAGATTTCTAAATGATTACTTGATTTTAAAATAATTGAAGGAAACACACAATGTCTACTATCTATGATTATTTATCAACGCTGAAGTAATGAAATTTAAACACACATTGCCTGACACCATCAGTCACTCTTTTTCTTATAAAAAAGTAAAAATGAATAACTTAATTTTTTTCAATGTATTTCATATAAAAAGTAGAAAATAAGCAGCATCTCTTCTAAATAAAATAACTAAATTATGGTATGAATAACTAAAAATATTTTAAACAGTGCATTTCTTGAAACTTTTCTAAACAAATATTTGAACGTAAACAATTTAATTGTAATAGAAAATATGCCGTCTCACAGTATCTCTGGCGCAGCGTCCAATCATCGTCAATGTGGTGCGATGTGTAGCTACACTTTTTGTGAGGTGAACGGATGTTCGCCGCAGAATCATCCTTAAAAAAGCCACTTGACTCCACACGTTGTAGGGAAAGTAATTGAAAAAAATGTATCTGGAAAAATTAGATCGATTATAGGCTCTGAATGTCGATTTCGATTACTTTTCAATTAATCACCCAGCCCTATTCATGAGTTTCAAAAACTCTGATTTCTTTAAAATTTTAAATTACATCTTTGGAAAACGTTTCTGCTGGAGATACTGTTATCCTAAACAACAACAACAACAACAACAAAAAAAGTAAATAAAAAAATCTTACACATACATTAAGGAGCGGTATAGCTGAAAATTTTGTCGGTTTTAAAGGGCCATGAAACCCCTCGTTTCAGCAGGGTGTTTTCACACCTCTAGTTTGGAAAAAGTCCGGAAAGTGGGTGTGTCTAGCTCGGTATAGGTGGGAGTGTCGGGGGAGGGAAAAGGGGAAGGATTTGAATAAAAATGGGAGTTTCCAATTGGGCACGCGCTGATTTTCACTGAGGAAAAACAAACACAGACGCAGGGGAGGAAGACAGTGACTGTGTTATAACAGTGAAATGTTTGATACTGCACGTCGTATATGAGAAAAAAAAGCCTCTGCATTTCTCTGTAACTCAGATGCACTGGGTAGGTCAGAAAACGGTGTGTGTGTGTAGACTATCCTGTCACTAAATGCAGCGAAAATTAAACACGACATTCAGCAATAGTTTGCTTGCAGTGTTTACATGTTTTTACTTAAAGAGCAGCATTTACAGCAGATCTTTCAGTCCATAATATTGTAGTGATGTTAACAGAAACTAAGTAACTTAGAAATCATTTTCACTAAGGTCTTTAAACACTGAAAGAGTAACTTACTGCTGACGATATACGAACTATAACTTTACCATCTGAATGAACAAAGAAAGGGTACTGATCGCACGCACTTACCATCTTTAATCCTGTTATAGTTTGAGCCGAAAAAAATATGTGCCGTTTTAAGTAACTGTAAAAATATATAAAATAAATAAAGATAAAAAAAAATGTGCAATAAGCAGGATGTTCTTCTGAACATTTTGGTCCTAGTTTTATTGTATATTTCATATGGTTGAATTGTGTAATTCATTCGAATGGTTATTATTTTTTAGAAATGCAGTGTTTAGATTATTTTTTAGGTTATTATTATTGAGAAATTAAGCCTTGTGCAACATTAAGGGCACATATTTGTGTCCATCTGTCATATTTTTGGCTCAATCTATAACTGGAGCAAAGAATTTAATCGGTTTGAAACTGGATGTCTAATGAATTTCAAACGTCAAGCTAACTTTACTGTGGTACGCTAAGTTTAAACCCCTTATAAAAGTGATTTTTGCATAATAGATCTCCTTTAATACATGCATAATCAATATGTGTCCAGAGGTCAGAGCAAAGGTTTTAGAGATAAACTGATCTACACTTAACTCTCAATTGCTGACCATTTTGTGCAAAAAAATAAAAAATAAAAAATGAGATGTGATCATCTGGGATATCTGTATTGCCTACATTTGTCATTTATCTGCATATCTTGACTGTTAAAGCCATGACATCAGTGTTATTCTTGCTGCTTGATAGGGTCTGAATTAGTTAAACCCACAGTGGAAAGCTGCTTAAAACAATAACAACTTTCTTCCTCTTTTAAGGCCTGTAATAGTTACAGTGTGTGAATTAGTGATGTGACTTGAGGTTTGTGGCTGGTGAGGCACTGCATGTTTCAGAGTCAGATTTACAAATATGCAACCAATATATCAGCATTCTTTAAATACACACAGCAGGTACATATTAGGCCAGGGAAGAATGTAAAATGTATAGCAGTTCAGCATGCCTCCCCAAAACAGCAAGGTGAATGATACAGACAGCCTATAACAAGATACACGAGCACACCGCGGATGCTCGCTCTCGCTCAACCACACGCACGTACGCGCAGTCGCGCACACGCACACACACTGGTCTTACCTTTACTTGTAAAAGACGTCCTCAGGCTTTTCTTTTGGACAAAAATCTCCGTGACTTTATTACACGCGCCATTTTTGCACTCAGTCGGAGCAAAAGATAAAACAATGAACTCCTAGCGAAGAGCATAAGAGCCAACACTCTGGGAAACAGCTGCTATGCCCCAGTGTCAAGCGGCGGCCATTTTGGAATGAAAACTCCAATGGATCAACAGCACTGTTAACTAACATTAGACATAATTAGTTAAAATATTAAGAGTAATAGGATTTAAAATATTATATATTAAACCACTATCCATTGAAAAACAACAATTTAAACAATGTCTCAATGAAAAGAAAGCAATTTTCAAAATGTTGACGAGACTAATACAATATCTGTTTAACTTATGACATGAAAATAAGGCATACTGTCAACATTGGGATGTGAAAATAAGGGATATGCTCACAATAACACAATAACACTTATCTATAATAAAAGTATTCGATTGCTTTCCTACTTTTTTATGCTCATTTAGGAAAAAAACCCCACCAAGATCTACATCTTATTATTCCATTTTTTTACAATCACTATGGCACTTTCAATACATTTAACACGTTTCCTAAACTCTCAACACGGTAAGCACAACATACAATATAACAATATACAATTAAAACATTTCCTGTTGCTTTGATACAAAATGCATCCAGTTAAAATCAATTTAAAATGCTTTTTTTTTGCACACAACCTCAACCTAGAACAAAACAATGTAATTTTACAGTCAAAGTTACAAATGCTTTCACACTGTATGTCAACAGATAACATCATGTTCTAAACAAAAATTACAGGTGAAGTCAGATTTATTAGCCCCCCCTTGAATTATTAGCCCTCCTGTTTATTTTCCCCCCTGATTTCTTTAACGGAGAGCAGATTTTTTCCAACACATTTCTAAACATAATAATTTTAATAACTCATCTCTAATAACTGATTTATTTTTGTCATGGTGACAGCACATAATAATTTGCTAGATATTTTAGTACACTTCATACAGCTTAAAGTGACATTTAAAGGCTTATCTAGGTTAGGCAAGTTATTGTATATGGTTTGTTCTGTAAATTATCGGAAAAAAATAGCTTAAAGGGGCTAAAAATATTGTCCTTAAAATGGCTTTTAAAAAAATTAAAAACTGCTTTTATTTCAGCTGAAATAAAACAAATAAGAAGACTTTCTCCAGAAGAAAACATATTATATGAAATACTGTGAAAATGTCCTTGCTCTGGTAAACTTCATTTGTAAAATATTCAAATAATAAAAACAATTCTTCAAAGAGGCTTTAATAATTGTTATTTCAACTGTATATTAATCTTTATGTGCTGTTGGGGATGTTTTGAAGTAAACTGAGTTTATTTCATATTTCACAATATTACTACAACAAAATAAAAGTTAAGGTGTCGTGTGTAGGTTGGACTGTATATAAACAATATATAAACATTAATATGCAGTTGTACAGTACAGTCCTCCAAAAAGATGATGTCTATACTTAATGTTCAATGTAGTTTATTAAGTGTTTGTGTTTGTATTAATACAAAACATTCACAAAAATGGTACGATTTGGGACTTTGATTAACAGTAATGACAAAAAAAATAATAAAAAAATTCTCCAAAATATAAACATTTGAAAATAAGTATGTAGTCTTTCCTAAAAAACATCCCAAAACTAATTTTAATGACGGCATATACTGTCTATATTTGTAACTAGGTACTTAAGATAGTGCATTACTGGTCCATGCAAAATAAATGTATATTTACCTTCAATTTAATACTTGACTAGTTGGAAAAGTTGAGATGTCTAGGCAGTAAATTATCTTATATAGTATTGTCCTTCTAAAATGCAGGCCTGTGTGTATAATACATGTTCAACAAAGTGTATTTGTGCATAAGTGTTTGTATTAACCCAAAAACAGTAACACAAATCTTAAAAATTGTGACTGATTTACAGTAATGCCAAATAAAAAGCTCCAAAATGGACATTTGACAATATGTTTGTATATGGTATTTTTATAAAGAAGATTAAAAAACATTTCTAAACTAATTTTGATGACGTTTATGTACTTAAGATCATGCATTAGTGTAAATGTGTTCTTCACTTTAATATTTTATTAACATCAGTTCATGTTATTGTAACAAACACTTGCATGCTACACCGCCAATTAAATCGATGTTGTAGTTCACATGATGATAATTAAAATATATATATTTAATGATATATGTAATACAGAGCTGTATGTATGAATAATAGCTGATCTTGCAACAAAAAAGCAAGGAAATATAGAACAAAACATCAGTGTCCAGTGGACCATTGAACACCATTACACGGACGAATGTGTGACGTGTGCTTCAAACCGCCCAAAACAACATACGAACAAAAGCCTCCAAAAGTCCTTCAATGATGTTTCTTCTATTAAACACACTGTCAACTTGTTTGTTCAAAACCAGAGCAACAAATTTAACCATTTTCCACCAATAAACCTCAAAATTACAAGAAATAAAGACGCAACATCGTCTACAATCTTGTGTGTGTACTAGATTTGATGTTATTATGCAAAACTAACAGGTCAACTGTTACATGTTTTGGTATTTAAATAAAGTTCAGAATCTCTACTTTACATCTACGTAGTTTTTACTCCATTAAACTCTTTTATACTTTCAGATTTACATCAAATGTTCAAGAAGAAAACACACGCACCAGAAGCTCGTAGTGGCGCGCCGCTGAACAGAGTGGGTTGAGTCTTCACGGTTCTCATGTTGTACTTAAATGCGCAGCGCAGCGAAGCAGAGGTGATTGTTGTTACAGGTATTGACTTCAGGTACACTAATAAGATAAAAATCATGGCAGAAACAGCAACTAAAGCGGCTAAGAAGAAGCCAGCATCCAAACCCAAGAAGAGAACTGGGCCGAGCGTCAGTGAGCTGATCGTCAAGGCTGTGTCTGCGTCCAAGGAGCGGAACGGAGTGTCTCTCCCCGCCTTGAAGAAAGCGCTTTCCGCTGGTGGATACGATGTGGAGAAGAACAACTCCCGGGTCAAAATTGCCATCAAGGCTCTGGTGCTGAAAGGCGATCTGAAGCAGACCAAGGGAATCGGCGCCTCCGGCTCGTTCAAACTCAACAAGAAGCCCGCAGAGACGAAGACGAAACCCGCAAAGAAAGCCGCTCCTAAAGCCAAGAAGCCCGCAGCTAAAAAACCCGCAGCCAAGAAACCCGCCGCCACCAAGAAGCCCAAAGCCGCAAAGAAGCCCGCAGCTAAGAAATCCCCGAAGAAACCCGCTAAAAAGGCAACAAAGAGCCCAAAGAAAGCCAAGAAACCGGCGACTCCTAAGAAGGCAGCAAAGAGCCCTAAAAAGGCGAAGGCCGCCAAACCTAAAACGGCTAAACCTAAAGCGGCCAAGCCTAAAAAGACCGCAGCAAAGAAGAAATAAACCTGTTTTTTAATGTCAAAACGGCTCTTTTAAGAGCCACCAACTGCTTCAGACTCAAGAGCTTTATTTCAGTGGTTAACTCGATGAGAAAAAGATGTGACAGAAGTCAAAACTGAATATTCTGTCGTTATATATTCACACTTAATATTCACAAAACACTCAAGCCTGTTTAAGTTTTTACTGTTGAATTATAAGTTAATATTTTTAATAATTCTGGAAATTAGTAACCATTGACTTACTGTTTCCTGATATGGGGGTCAATGGTTACTTTTTTTTTAGTTTTCTGTATATTTTTAAGAAACTCAAAGCTTTGAAAACACTGGAGTGCAAGTTAATAGTGAGTACATTTATTACATTTATCGAGATTTTATTGACACAACTTAATTTTTTATGTTCAATCTACATAAATTTAACTTAATTGATTTGTTTCGGGACAACACGAATGAACTGTGTGGAACCCTGCACTTTTTACAGTGTATGTACACTGAATACAATTCTGGGTTCCACAATTTCTTCATGTTGTCCCAAAACAAATTAAGTTAACTTATTTTACAAATGTAAGTGGATTGAACTTAAAACAATTAGGTTGTGCACGAAAACTCCAGAATTATGTTGATTTAGCTTAATTTTAAAAAGCATGTCGAACAACAGCAGAACTAAGGTACTATATTCTAAAAGGGATAATTACTCCCAAATGGAAATGTATTAATTATTGACTCACCCTCGAGTGGTTTTAAATCTTCATCTTTATTTTCTTTTTATCAGAAAACTAAAGATATTCTGAAGAATGTTAGAAACGTAACCATGGATTTCCAAGATGAAAAACTAACCATTGATTTACTAGTAGAAACTTTAACAAATGTTTTCCATAGTAGAAAAAACAAATATTTGTAAACCAATGGTTACTTCCTTCCAACATGTTATGATTATTATTTTTTTTGCGTGTATAACAGGAAAAAAAGAGAGTTAAATGAAGACAGATTATTTTTTTTGGGTGAACTATCACTTTAAGGGCTGTGAGTGGAAGAAAGGGGGTGTGGCTTACAGTTCGAATCGAAGTTTGCTGATTGGTTTGTAACATATCCAGCCTCCAGCCAATAGCACAGTCGCAGGTTTTCTCATAAAAGGCGCATCACTGAGTTTTGTGTCACTGCACGTAGCAGAAAAACTGTAGTTTGATTAAAATGAGCGGAAGAGGTAAAACCGGAGGAAAAGCCCGCGCTAAGGCAAAGACTCGCTCCTCCAGGGCGGGCCTGCAGTTTCCAGTCGGCCGTGTTCACAGGCTTCTTCGCAAGGGTAACTATGCAGAGCGTGTCGGTGCTGGAGCTCCAGTGTATCTGGCTGCTGTGCTCGAGTATCTGACCGCTGAGATCCTGGAGTTGGCTGGAAACGCTGCTCGGGACAACAAGAAGACCCGTATCATCCCCCGACATCTGCAGTTGGCGGTGCGCAATGACGAGGAGCTGAACAAGCTTTTGGGCGGAGTGACCATCGCTCAGGGTGGTGTGCTGCCCAACATTCAGGCCGTGCTGCTGCCTAAGAAGACCGAGAAGGCCGCCAAGAAATAAACCAAGTGAAGATCGCTTCAAGACCAAAGGCTCTTTTAAGAGCCACACACTTCCTCCTTAAAGGGTGATTTATTTCTACTAAGTTGTGTTGGTAACTTGGTAAGTTACAGTGGAAATCCCAATTAAGGTTTTGTACAAACTCATTCATATCAAACCTATTATACAAAATAAGGTTGTACTTGTTCAATATTAAGTTCGTATGTTACATTTCTCACTCCCTCAAGTTCACTACATAGTACACTTAGAACAGACATGGGTTGACCAAACTGCTTTAGTTTGAGTTTAAAATCTCAAATTGAAAAGCTGAAAAAAAGCTGATAAAAGTTTGAAATAACGTAATTTGAAGTAACTTTTATTTAGTCGCATTGTTGATAATTGAATTAAATCCCAACGTTAAATACGTTTCATGCAAGGGATTATTGGAAAACTTAAAATATAGAAGAGATATTAAGGGCGCTTTTGATAATTTTCTATTTTATTCAGAGACGAAAATAATGCACTTTTAGGCGGGAACTTTTCTTCAAACGGATTCCCCTGTTTCAAAAAGCGACGGCGTACAGCCATTGGTCAACTGTCGTAAAGCGAACGCAAACAACCAATCAAATCATTCGAATTCCTGCCGTCCAATGAGCTTGTGGCAGCTCTGCTTTAAATACGCGACAAGGTTACCGGTGAATTCAATTGTTCGTAGAACAAAGCAAAGTCATCATTTCACAATGGCAAGAACCAAGCAAACCGCTCGTAAATCCACCGGAGGAAAGGCTCCAAGGAAGCAGCTCGCCACCAAAGCTGCCCGCAAAAGCGCACCGGCCACCGGTGGCGTCAAGAAGCCTCACCGTTACAGGCCCGGTACCGTGGCTCTGAGAGAGATTCGCCGTTATCAGAAGTCCACCGAGTTGCTGATCCGCAAACTGCCCTTCCAGCGTCTGGTGAGAGAAATCGCCCAAGATTTCAAGACTGATCTGCGTTTCCAGAGCTCCGCTGTCATGGCCCTGCAGGAGGCCAGTGAGGCTTATCTGGTGGGTCTGTTTGAGGACACAAACCTGTGCGCCATCCACGCCAAGAGGGTCACCATCATGCCCAAAGACATCCAGCTGGCCCGCCGCATCCGCGGAGAGCGCGCTTAAATAGCTCCTGCACGAAACACAAAGGCTCTTTTAAGAGCCACCCATATCTCTTTAAAAGACCGATTCTTTAGTTGAACTTTCAGTTTACTTTGCCTATTAAAGACGTGTTAGAAAGTACAGTTCGAAAACGGGTTGTATCCTTTATCAGCTGATCTGCTTATTACTGTTTCAGGAGTAGTGAACAAACTTAATTGACCGCTTCACACACGTAGCTACTAAATCAAGACACAACCAAACTAAAGTAAAAGCACTGCTTTAAATATGCATATGCATATAAATATGCAGCCTTTTAAATATACTAGAATGTAAGTTTTGCTGAGAATTGTTATCACTGCTAAACCGCGAGAAAACCAAAACACGGCGGTTGGCATCCAGCGTTTTGGTGCATTACCGCCACCTTCAGCTCCGGAGTGTGCACCAGAGGTTATGTTTGCAGACTAGTCATTCCCCCCACTTCCCTCTTTCCCACCCCTTCTCATACACACACATACATACTTACACACACACCTCTCCCCTACTCCTATGTTATAATAATAACCATAATACTCTCATACTACTATTTACTCTAATACCATAATAATAACCACTACATTGCTCTTACCCCTACTTTTACTTCCACTACTTGGTTATATTTGACTATATTCCCTTTACCTTATAACTTAAATTATTTATTTTATATCCTATCATAAACACCTGTTTCTCTTAGATACTTTATAAGTATTCTGATCTGAATCCTGTCCTTTGTACTTAGTACTTCGTTAGAATAAGGTAATCAAACGAGGAAACACAAGGAAGTGTTTGGAGTCAAAGCTTCTGAGCTGTCATTGGTAGTTTGACTTGACCAATGAAGTCATTCCATGGGTAGGGCGATACATAAACCAATCACAGGCCGCGGTTTTTCCTTTTGAAATTAGCATACGTGGTATATAAAACCCAGCGCTTTCTGTGGAAAGTTTACATCTAGAAGATTTAAGAGTAGCATTATGCCAGAACCAGCGAAGACTGCACCCAAGAAGGGCTCCAAGAAGGCGGTGACTAAAACCGCCGGCAAAGGAGGAAAGAAGCGCAAGAGGACCAGGAAGGAGAGCTATGCCATCTACGTGTACAAGGTACTTAAGCAGGTTCACCCTGATACTGGAATCTCTTCGAAGGCGATGGGCATCATGAACTCCTTCGTCAACGACATTTTTGAACGTATCGCCGGTGAGGCGTCTCGTCTCGCTCACTACAACAAGCGCTCCACCATCACATCGAGAGAGATCCAGACCGCCGTCCGTCTGCTGCTCCCTGGAGAGCTGGCCAAACACGCCGTGTCTGAGGGCACAAAGGCCGTCACCAAGTACACCAGCTCCAAGTAAAACGCGGAGTCATTTTCTACCCAAAGGCTCTTTTAAGAGCCACCCATGTTTTCATATGTAGAGCTTTATTTCTGTTCATTGTTAACCTAAAATTGCACTATTCAGAAGACTTTATTTAGCTTGAAGAAACAACGCCAAATTAAGCGAGCAGTAATCCACAGGTTTGTAATAGTTCAATCAATCCAGAGCCGGAGGGATATCATTGGAAAGCCGGCTACCATTAGTATTTCCTACAATTTGAAGTCAATAGTTACAGGTTTTTAGCATTCCTCAATATATTTTGTGTTTAACAGAGTAAACGCACTCAAGGTTTGGAACTACTTTAGGGTGAGAAAATAGTAAAATTCTGTTATACGAGGGCTGGAAGATCATCTAAAAGTGCAATAACAAGCAGTTTCAGATAAGAGATGGAGAACGGGAGGGGAAAAAAAGTTCAGTTCTTTTATTCCACTATCTTTAGTAAATTGTATAACTGTTTCAAACCTTAGACTGTACTGCATTTTCACTCTTTAATAACAATCACTTAAAAGTTTCTCTAATTTCTAAGCTTATCAGCTGGGCTATCATTTCTTGTACAGATTTACATGATATCAATAAATGTTTCACCCTCTCATAATTCTATTTTTAATGTTTTCCTATAATAAAAGAACATAACTTATTAGTTTAGAAGATTCTTCTTTTGGTTTAATGGCGGAAGACAAACCAGATTGTGTTGGTATTTCCACCAAATATGTTGTATTGGAGTGTGAAACCTCAACAAGCAAACTCCTTACAGATTATTAATAAAAAAATAAATAAAAATATATCATGTTGATTAAACCTGTATTCTTTGAAAAATGTAAAAGAAAATCCCACACCTTTGATTGTTTCAGTGCATTCTGAAACACATCTGAGATCACACTAATTTCCAAATCTCTTAGTTTTCCAACAAGCTGATTTCTCTCTCTACTTTATGCTTTATATTGTAATAATAAATGCTCAACTGTTTCTGTTTTTCTACAATTCTTCACATTTCCTTTATGTACAGGGAACAATAACGATTGGAGTGTGCAAAGCCTATTATAACAATAATGATGTTGAATACATGTCCTCCTTTTGACTCTTTAATCCAGTCTTCTCGCCACAGGCTTATAGCTGCAGCTTTTGTAATATTATTGCCTGAAAAGTACTTGTGTTTTTTACATGAGATAGCCTGTGCATTTCAACCTCAATGCTGTTTTGGCCAGCTTATCCATCGTCTCATTTTCTTCTATACCTAAACGGCCAGGGATCCATAGAAAAGTCTACATTTACTCCTGTATTAATGATTCTATAAATATTCTGCACATTTTCATACAGAATATCAGCTATATTGTTTAAGCGTGGGCTTTACCAAACATTGCCAGAAACTTGCAAATGGGGCGGGTCTTGCAATATGGAGGGAAGTGCAGTGATTGGTTTTCAACTGGGGCATATTCTGACCAATAGGCGAAAGGCACGTTAGCTTTAAAAGCTGATCGTCGCGTCTCACAGTCATAAAGACGTTTTCGTTAGTCTTCGAGAATCCACTGCCAACATGAGCGGAAGAGGCAAAACCGGAGGGAAAGCCCGCGCCAAGGCTAAGACTCGTTCTTCTAGAGCAGGGCTTCAGTTTCCAGTCGGCCGTGTTCACAGACTCCTCCGCAAGGGGAACTATGCTCAGCGTGTCGGTGCTGGAGCTCCAGTGTATCTGGCTGCTGTGCTCGAGTATCTGACTGCTGAGATCCTGGAGTTGGCTGGTAACGCCGCTCGGGACAATAAGAAGACCCGTATCATCCCCAGACATCTGCAGCTGGCGGTGCGCAATGATGAAGAGCTGAACAAGCTTCTGGGCGGTGTGACCATCGCTCAGGGTGGTGTACTACCCAACATTCAGGCCGTGCTGCTGCCTAAGAAGACCGAGAAGGCCGCCAAAGGCAAATAAACAAAATGTTTGTTTTCTAAGTTTACCCAACGGTTCTTTTAAGAACCACCCAAATCCACCTTAAAAAAGGCAATTTAAATGTTAAATGAAATAAAGCATAGTGGAGAATTAGTATTTGAGTAGCAAGATTATTGGTCTAAAAACTCTTGATCTCTTAAAATATTAACTTAAAGAACACTGATCTCTTAAAATATTAACTTTGTTGCGAATTTATTTGTTGAACTACATCAGTCAGCTAAAATTAGACTTTAACATAAACTAGTTTAAACCTCAAAACTCTTTATTTAAATCCAAAGCTACAACTTGATCAACAGACGAGCATAACCGACTATTTAAAGCCTATATATCCCACCAAAATGTGAAAATCTAAAGAGGTGACTGCTTCAAACACTTTGAAACCATATATTTCACAATTGGACTAATTTAAATTAGTTAAGTCTTTAAACTGGTCTCCTATGTGGATGTAAAACTATACCCAATTGGGCCAAACCCTCATCCAATCACCAACAATTCATCTTAATAGAACCTTTAACAAGACTATGTTTACCATATAGTTTTCAAAGATTTTTTAAAGAGAAATTGAAAATAGTTTGCACAACTAGGATTTGCTTGTTTTAGCAATTTATGTAAAATATGTTGCCTTGAAATAAATTTAATAAACAAATTATATAATAAAAGGTCTTGTATAGTGTGACGTTTCATTCATGATGGTCTTAAAAACCTGCAGAAACCCTGAATTAGATTACTCTGAAAGAGACACTAGTTCACATTAGTTAAATTAAGCTGATTATCAATCATTTAATTTTAATAAAACGTGTATTGTTAAGTATTTTAAGAGCGTTAACCTTTTAGAGTAATTGTTACTATTGGTTGACAGTAAAAGTCTGCGTGTGTGTGTTTTTAATGGATGTGAGCTCTTCAAAGAACATAAGATGGCTGGTTGTAATGGAGAAGGGAAAGAATATGGACAAGAGCTGTAAACGTTTAATGGATGGAGTAAAAGAAAGCTTCCTCTAATGCTTTTCCATATGAAGTTTAGAAAACTTTAGATGCCTTTAAACTAAAAATCTAATTAACCATGTGTTCAAGACCTGGCTACTTTTTCCCAAGTCTATCTGTGTTTTAACCAATCAGGTTTGACACATGTTGAAGACATTATGTGAGAGTATAATTGTTGTTGATTTGAGTTTGTAAGCAGAGCGGCCTACCAACTCTGTAAGTGTTGAAGATGGCTACTGCTGATGAGTTACTATATTTAGTAATCTTTTTTTTTTTTACTGAATCTCTGGCTCTTCTTCGTCTGGCAGACTGCTCATTTTTGGTCTAAAACTGTTGGTTCTGATTATGTGCTGGATGTATGGAACTGATGCTGACTTTGAACAAAAGAAGAAGAGTATGTTGAAGTCAGAATTATTTGCCCCCTTTGAACTTTATTCTTTTTTGAATATTTGCTAAATGATGTTTAACAGGACAAGGAAATGTTCACAGTATGTCTGATAATATTTCTTTCTTTTGGAGAAAGTCTTATTTGTTTTACTTTGGTAAGAATAAAAGCAGTTTTTAATTTTTTATGAACCATTTTAAGGTCAAAATTATTAGCCCCTTTAGGCAATTTTTTCAATAGTCTACAGAACAAACCATCATTGTACAATAACTTGCCTAATTACCCTAGTTATGCCTTCAATGGTCACTTTAAGTTGTATAGAAGTGTCTTGAAAAATATCTAGTCCGATTTTATTTACTGTCATCATGGCAAAGATTAAATAAATCAGTTATAGGGATGAGTTATTAAAACTAATAGGATCAGAAATGTGTTGAAAACATCTTCGGAATTTTGGGGGAAAATAAACAGCGAGGCTAATAATTCAGGAGGGCTAATAATTCTGACTTCATCTGTATGCTTTATTCTTTGGCGGAAATAGCTGTCCTAATAAATTTTATGTCATTACTGTATTACATTGCTAGATGTATTCCCTAATAAACCAGATCGTGTGATGTCACGATGTTTGATTAAGGTGGCATTGTTTATTATTATGTTGCTACAGTGGAATAATACATGGACTTTGGTTTATTGTTGACTATAGAGTAAACAGTCTCCAGTTGGATGTTCCCTATTTTATTCTCATGCCCGCACTTATCTGGGATTTACTTCCTTTTCGATTTCTGTTCTCCCTCCTTCCAGCACCAACTTGTTTTTGTATATTTTACAGATATCTGCTGTTTCACTGTTCTTGCCATATGTTCTTATAGATTTTGCTTCTGCTATACTCGGTGGGACCTCCAGGTCTACTTCATTGACTCTAAAAGCTTGTTTAGCCAGAATATCCTTCTCATTTCCTTACACACCTAAATTAGCAGCGACCCAAATGTATAAATACGCATAAGGCTGATCATAGCTGATAGGACAACTTTTTAAGAAATGTTTCAGGGCAACTTTTGGAAATGATGGGCAATCAGATGGGACATGGGGAAAAAAATCTGTAAAAAATGGGCAACCAGATGGGACATGGGAAACTAGTTAGGGCAATGGGTTATACCATATAGTTGTCCATTCTTAATAGACAAGTAGCACAGCAACATCACGTTGCAAAATTGCTCCAAAAAGTTGCCCTGTGTATCACCAGCATCAGTTTAATGTAATACAGACAATCAACGCTTGACGTCCTAAATGACGGCCCTACAAATCTTATATATTTTTGAGATAGGTAACTATCTGATGCAATTGCAGTGTTAATCTCATTCTCCTTTATCCACTGCAGAGCCATTAACATTGCCAATAACTTAAAGAAATATATGAGTTTTGGTGAACTGTCTCTTTAAATGTAAAATTAAGAATGTAAACTACAATCTACGATGCTTGACACGCCTATGTAGGCGTTGTAGCTCCGCCTCAGGTGTTTCAACTAGGTCGTCTAAGCGACTGTAAAGCTTCTTTAGTGCAGCGCTACTGCACATACTGAACGTAGACAGTGAAGAATCATGTCAGGAAGAGGCAAGGGAGGTAAAGGCCTAGGAAAAGGAGGCGCTAAGCGTCATCGCAAAGTACTCCGTGATAACATCCAGGGAATCACTAAACCCGCCATTCGTCGCCTTGCTCGCCGTGGTGGTGTCAAGCGCATCTCCGGTCTGATCTACGAGGAGACCCGTGGTGTACTCAAGGTGTTCCTTGAGAACGTGATCCGTGACGCTGTTACATACACTGAGCACGCCAAGAGGAAGACTGTTACTGCCATGGATGTGGTGTACGCGTTGAAACGACAGGGACGCACTCTGTACGGCTTCGGCGGTTAAAACTCTACGATCAATAAAAAAAAGGCTCTTTTAAGAGCCACCCATGTTGTCATAAAAGAGGCTATATATCTGCTTTGAGTATTCACTTTAGCGATCTAACTAATCTACATTTAAGCAAGACATTATTTAAAATGTCTATATAGAACTGTATGAAGAGTAGTTGTTTATTTTTAAAATTAATACAATCACTTGTTTACCAATTTTATCAAATTATCAGCAAATTAACATGGAAAAAACAATGTGAACCAGCAATTTCCTCTCCCTGAAGCCTGCAATCACTATTAGTGTGGGTCGCTTTTTAAAAGTAGCAGAATGAGTGTCAACTGCTAACTTTGTTGGTCGGTGCCCTAGCAATTTTGTTGCTAAATTTAGCTAAATTTTTTTATAAGTTGGCAAAACTGCTCTCATGTGATTAACCGCAGTGTTGTTCGCAAATAAAGCCCCGCCACTACTTACGACAGAAGATTCGGCTCTTCTCGTTCGCTACAAAGAATCGGCTCTTAGAGCCGGCTCTCTCGCGAACCACAAATCACTAGGTTTAAAAAGTTGATGTTAAAAAAGATAGTTTAAAAAGCCTAGCTGGATACTTTGGTTTACATTTTAAATACTACAAAACAATAGTCTTAATTTTATCCGGCATATTAAGAATACCACTTACTGTAAAACATCAGAAATTATAAATAAGTTTGAGACTTGTTATTAACGAATTGGTATTTGCATCAGTTATATCGTTCCATTACATCAAAATTATTTATTGATTTGAAAAACTAATTCTGAGCGGGAAAATGAAACAAAAGCTTCTTATCTGACTCAGATAACTCAGATGGGCGGGGCCTATAGTTTAAAAGCATACAACTGGTAGATTTGCTTGCAGGCGCGTCTTCTTTATGACCAATAAAATCAGCGTCATACATTCATTGCTCCAATCAGAGAACCCTGATTATTCCTTTTGAAATTTGCATACGGGCCTAATAAATAGCCAGTGTGCCTACCATTAACACACTCGGAATTTCTAATTTCGATTGAAGAACCATGCCTGAACCAGCGAAGACTGCACCCAAGAAGGGCTCCAAAAAGGCGGTGACTAAAACCGCCGGCAAAGGAGGAAAGAAGCGCAAGAGGACCAGGAAGGAAAGCTATGCTATCTACGTGTACAAAGTCTTGAAGCAGGTTCATCCTGACACTGGAATCTCCTCTAAAGCGATGGGAATCATGAACTCGTTCGTCAACGACATTTTCGAGCGCATCGCCGGTGAGGCTTCCCGTCTCGCTCACTACAACAAGCGCTCCACCATCACATCGAGAGAAATCCAGACCGCCGTGCGTCTGCTGCTGCCCGGGGAGCTGGCCAAACACGCCGTGTCTGAGGGTACAAAGGCCGTCACCAAGTACACCAGCTCCAAGTAAAGCGCGGAGTCAATTTCTACCCAAAGGCTCTTTTAAGAGCCACCCATGTCTACACAGAGAGAGCTTCTAGTTCGTGTGGTCGTCCGTTCAGTAACCGTACATTTAAATATGGATCATCTTTAAAGGGTTTTACTCGAAAACTTCATGCTTATTAATGCGTAACATTTAGATTTCCAGCAGTAGCTCTTACTTTTTTTGTGCATTTAATACAAATATATTTTTAAAGTATTTAAATGTACTTCAGGCTTTTTACAAATGTAATTCTGTAGATATGATGGGAGTAAACCCAGTATAGATTTGTAAACAAGGATATGCCAATGCTTGAGCCTATGAATGGACAAAGTAGACCAACCTATACAGCACACAATGGTGAGTACGGGATTTAAAATTAGTTATAAATCTTAGTGCACCATGGTAAACAGAACCACCTGAAAACAAGCGCACTTGCCGCATGGCAGCAGAACCCTTTGTAGCCTGTTTTTTTATAAATAAAAATACTTATTTTTACTTTTATTTATCACCAAAAAAGAACATAAATAGTTGCTTTAAATGTTATTGTTTTTATTCATTATAATGTACAAAGTAAATAAAAGGGAAAATGCTTTTAAAATGTAAATGAAATTCTAGTCAACCACTTTAAAAAACATAAGGGATGCCAGAAATGACCCACCTTCTGTTATATAATATTTTTTAAGATTCTTGGGTGAACTGTGTCTTTAAATACATTATTCAAAAAGCGAACTACAATCCAAGCCACGGGGCCTGGAGATTGACACGCCTATTGTGACGTTGGTAACTCCGCCTTGAGTGTTTCAACTAGGTCGTCTAAGTGCCTGTAAAGCTTATCCAATATCGCTAGACTGTACATTCTGAAGCTCGACTGCAGATAATCATTATGTCTGGAAGAGGCAAAGGCGGTAAAGGACTGGGAAAAGGAGGCGCTAAGCGTCATCGCAAAGTACTTCGTGATAACATCCAGGGAATCACTAAACCCGCCATCCGTCGTCTTGCTCGCCGTGGTGGAGTCAAGCGTATCTCTGGTCTGATCTACGAGGAGACCCGCGGTGTGCTCAAGGTGTTCCTTGAGAACGTGATCCGTGACGCCGTCACCTACACTGAGCACGCCAAGAGGAAGACCGTGACCGCCATGGATGTGGTGTACGCGTTGAAACGACAGGGACGCACTCTGTACGGCTTCGGCGGTTAAACCTCTACGATCAGTTTATGAACCAAAGGCTCTTTTAAGAGCCACCCACATTGTCATGAAAGAGGCATTTGACTTGCTTGATATCAGATTTTATGGAAAATCTTTATTTTGTCAAATATAGACTTCCTTTTAAACCTGCACTGACTCCCTTTCTCTAAACGTATGTATACATGGTATGCGATCTCTATCTTAGTTTTTTTTAGGATAATTCAAAGTCTTTAAGTTTATATGTATGTTATTTTGTGCCGATATACATACATGCATACATTCAAACAAACAAACCAAAGTCAGATCTGGGGTCCGTTCTTCGTACCTCGCTTAAATGATCTAAGATTATTTGGCAGATCCTGGATCTTTTAATCTTGATAAGTGATCTCTCGCTTATTTGGTTCTTCAAACAAGTTCGCGAATCAGATTAGAATGTCTGGATGAACTGATCTGAGATCACTGCGTGTGTTATGAAGGACAGATCTATCGATCCTCGAAATCATGATCAGCAATGCAACGATTGGCTGACGGCATAGTAGCGTAATGACATCATCTGATTAATATTCAATTATCCATGCGAGTAAAATTACATCAAATTAGCAGTAAACGGTTTGTTAAAAATGACACGCAAGAACTTTCCACATTTGTTGTGAGCTGCAGGCTTTACACTTTAATTTGTCAAGACAAGAGTGTTCATCATGTATTTCAATGCAAATCAGTGTATTTAGTTCTGCATTTAGAAAATATTGTCTATATTATAGTAGCCGCTTTTTAATCGGTGTAAAGAATAACTGGTTGTTTACAAAAGCATTTTCATATTGGTAAAGGCGTCTGCAACTTTTGTGAAGCATCAAATCACTATTAACTGTCAAAACAGGTTTATGACTGCATAAATGTATTATTGCTTTAAAAAAAGTCACATATTCTGCATTTCTATTATACACAATTTGTACTAAAGCGATCTAAAGCGTTCATATCAATAAGTTTTCTCTTTGCACCAGATGGCAGTCTTTGTACTTTTATTTCGAGGGTGCAGATTGCATAAGTTTTATTAATATGTATAACTTTATTTATTTTATTAATGATTATAACTTTATATATATATATATAGTTAAAAATATGTACCATTTTCCCAAGTGTATAACTTTTACTGTAAGAAAATATCAGAATTCAGAACATACTTTCTGTATTATCTTTGCTTGAACTGAGCCGATCTAATCCTGTTTATATGAATTGAACCTGCTCCCGATCAGGTTTGACCTAGCAGAACTGTTGCTATGACAACAACTCTCGGATCAGCTTTGAAGAACGAAACGATCCTAGATCGTGTCAAATCGTCAATATCCAAATCCAGCTAATTGAGAAATCCACGTACGAAGAACGGACCCCTGTTCTTTTGTTTGCAGACACAAAGTCATAATATACTTATATTTGCCACTTCATTCATTTTCTTGTTGGCTTAGTACCTTTATCTGGGGTCGCCATAGCGGAATGAACCACCAACTTATCCAGCAAGTTTATATGCAGCGGATGTCCTTTCAGCTGCAACCCATCTCTGGGAAACATCCACACACTCATACACTATGGACAATTTAGCCTACCCAATTCACCTGTACCGCATGTCTTTGGACTGTAGGGGAAACCAGAGCACCCTGAAGAAACCCACGCGAATGCAGGGAGAACATGCAAACTCCACACAGAAACGCCAACTGAGCTGAGGCTGGAACCAGCGACCTTCCTGCTTTGAGGCAGCGGTACCTACTGCGACACTGCTTCACCCAAATTAGGGACTTGTTAAAAGCAATTAGTTATTTATCATCAGTTATATAGAGCCAATATATAAAATATTTTTGCAACAAGAATCAGTCCAAGGCACTCGAGTAAAGTGAAAAAATTAAAAAGCCTTTATTCACATGGCTAGATCACTGTTACCCTGATGAAGGCAGACTTCTGCCGAAACGCGTTGGTTTTTAGAGATCTAGCCATGTGAATAAAGGCTTTTTAATTTTTTCACTTTACTCGAGTGCCTTGGACTGATTCTTGTTGCAGATTTGATGAATCCCTTACCCAAAGAGCACCGACCATACATTTGAACTTACCCCAGAGCGCTTTTTGCTTTGTTTTTTCTGAAATATAAAATATTTTTGTTAGAATTTGAAAGGGGTTTGGGTTATTAAGTGCTTAATTAAGTGTAACGTTTGATATGGCTTTGCTGAAACGTTGTGTAGAAATGTAAATTATATGCATTTGTTTTGTGTGACAATACATGTCTTTCCAAAAAGGCCATACAGTTTCTGATAGGATCAGGACGTGTCTATGACGTGTGTGAACATTGGGTTTTTACGATGTTTTCACATGGTCAAGGAAATCACAAGATCGGTTAAAAACTATGTGGCGGTTCATTCCACTGTGGCGACCCCAGATTAATAAAGGGACTAAGCCGACAAGAAAATGAATTAAAGGGCACATAGTTTACACCTTTTTATTATTTAATATTAATGTTATGGTTGTTCTGAGTGTGCCAGTTTAGGTTCAGTTCAACACACAGTTAAGATGTTTTTATTTTAATGTGTTCAAAAGTGTGATGTTGGGGGCGTTTACACATTTTGCTGTTTTAGGGGCGTGTTGCTTCACAGTTCCGGCATCCTGCCCAACGTAACAAGGGGGCGGAGCCAAGAGCTCCCACAATCTGTGTTTGCAAAAGACAGGTTGACAGACAGAGGGAAAGAAGCTAAGCTTTGCTAGGATGAGCATTCAGCCGTACACGTACGAGTCGGACACAGACCAAGCAGAGAATACAAATTAATTTGTGTCTTTGTATAGTCTCGGTGTAAAAGTGCTGAGCTTGTACACCGAGACTAATAACCAAGCACACTGAATTAACTCAAGCTCCGCTGCGTGCACCCCGACAGAAACCCACGCCCAGAACTCCGAAATGCACAGGGCCACGCAAAAGGTACAATCAATAATTCCGATTACAGCGATAATGTGGAGAATATTGATCTTGTGTTGAGCCCAATGAGCTTTTCATTAAAATATAGAGCAAGGGTGCTCCTTTAGTGATATCGCTTTTACTCACACACTGAAAATGGCGGACGTGCAACAAGAAACTGAGGATAAGGTCGTGACGTGAGGCTGTCAATCAACATTGGTGGGCGGGGGGACCACACTCTTACATAAAGTTGCGGTCGGTCTAAAAACCGCTCTAATTGGTCTGTTTTTTTGTTGTTAAATTGAAAAAAAAAAAAGGACTGTGTGTGTTTATATAACCCCAATAGGACGGTCTATACCAGGGATGGGCAAACTTGATCCTTGAGGGCCGGTGTCCCTGCAGAGTTTTAGTCAAACACACCTGAACAAACTAATCAGTGTCTTCAAGATCACTTGAACTCTATAGGGAGGTCTGTTTGAATAGGGTTGGAGCTAAACTATGCAGGACACCGGCCCTCCAGGATCAAGTTTGCCCACACCTGGGGCCTCATGTATCAACGCTGCGTACACACAAAAACTTTGCGTACGCCAGGTTTCACGCTCAGAATCGCTCACGTTTGGATTTACTAACGATGAACTGAACGTGGGAATGTGCGCAGCTCCGTACGCACATTTTTTGTGCATGTCTGTTTTATTTCCATTGGCGACTCCTAGAGGCAGTTGTGTTAAATTGCTCTCTACAAAGTGTCTGACACAGTTTTTCTCCGGTCTACCTCCGAAAGCAGCAGCTCCAATTCACATTCTGTTTAAAGTTTCTCTTCTTGCTTGCTTTTGCCATTACTTTGGCAAAACCCAACGAAAAAGCAGAGTCATTAGCATATTAATACGGGGGAATTTGTTTCTGCGTACGCACAAAGCTGTAAATGTTTTAGTATAATTTCCACGCAAGTCTTCGTACATGAGGCCCCTGGTCTATACACTATACTTGCACACATGTCTGTCCAAACAGCTTGAAAAGTTGATTTTTTGCCATAGTGTCGTGTTCTGTTCCTTGTCTTTCAATCAGCAATCGAGTCAGTGGGTCTTGATTTCAAAAGATGGATTTATTGCCAGACAATAAAAACGAGAGGCTAACAGACAAACAAATGTCTCTCCATGAACCTCTGCCTCTCTGTGTCCCTGTCTTGCTTTTATACATGTAGTGTTGCAGACTTTTCCCACAGATATGGTCTTGTGCTGTGAACCTGCTATTTTTTTGGCTGTGTGCCTTTTGAACTCAGGTATATTCTTGGCTGTTTGCCCTTTAGGTGCTGGTTTAAAGTTTACATGTACTCAGCTAACTACTAGGCTTGCTCTTACTGTTATACCTTCACTTCACACTTATTTGTACACATATTAATATGATTATACAGAATAACATGTTCATTGCATATGTTAAACAATATATGTTTACTTGCACACTTGTACACAATTGGAGATGTTTACTGCATATTCACTGCACACTTTACCAAATATATGTTCACTGCACACTATTGGAGAGAAGATCAAATCCTTGACATACAAATATATGTTCACTGCACACTATAGGAGACAAGATTACAATTACTCCGTCAATAGGTGCCCTTTAATGTTTTTATAATTTAATGTTTTATTTTACACAGTTATTTTGTAATTAATTCAGTTGTAACCACAGCAGAATAGACATTAAATCATTTAATTTTCAAGTATTCTGTAAATAATTTTTGATTTATCTCAACAACACTCAATTACTCCATATTTCAATACAATCACATATTAGCAATGCTCTTCTACATTTTTAGCTATTAAATCTGCCATCATTTCAGTTTTTGGTATTGGATCACAGGGGAATGGTTTGACTAGAAATGTAGTTTTTCACCATCACACTGATAACTTTTTTTTTTAATTCGCCAGAGCTACACTTAGTTAGAACCGCTGTAGTTAAAACCAATTCGTACTGTCGTAACACCTCCTCTATGATGTTACTAAGAGGGAGTTTACAGAATTTCAATGATACTGAAATTAAACTCGATCAGACTGATTATTTTAGCTTTTCTAATACTTTCTGCACGTTTAGGTTTAAACTTTAAACCACAAAAATAAAAGACAATCAATATACAATTAAGCAGTCTTATAACAAGCAGTCTTAAACATTAAATTATTTCAATAGTGAGGTGGATAAATTTATCCTTTATAG